GATCTCCTCCTCCTCCTCCTCCTCCTCCTCTCTCTCTCTCTCTCTCTCTCTCTCTTACTCTGAGAGCAAGTTTTATCGCATCAGCGAAATTGAGACCGCGACGCCTCGCGCGCCGCCGTCGCTATCTCTGTTTCCTCTCGGCTCTCGTGGGTAGATCTCACGGAAGCTCGACGAGGACATTTGCCTGCCCCTGTTTCGCCGTTATCTCCGCTCGATTATTCCTTCGTGCAAACGCAACGCCTCCGCTCTTCCTTTTGTCTCCTTTTGCGCGGCACTTTCCTCTTCCGACTACATTCCAGGCGATGGGAGCCGCAGCTGATGCGTCCTCATGGCTCGAAACGGTTATCTGCCAGGTCAAGTTTCTACTGATAATAATTACGGTCGTGGATCTGAAAGAATAAGAGGAGGAGGAGGAGGAGGAGGAGGAGGTTGGATTGGAAGGAGAAGAAGATGATTATAAACGGCGAGGCCTATTCTCTCGTCGCGATCGTCTAAATTTATCGTCTGGATCTATTGAAAACAACAACAACGAAGCATTCCAAACTTTCGTGGAATAATAGCCTTGGACTCGAGGGGAGGGGAAAGAGAGTGTTTGCGGAAAAATGGCGAAAACTTTTCTAATTAAATTCGCTCGCCTAACGCCTCGATAGATTTTCAAAAAAGGAACGCGGAAAAAAGCGTCGAACGAACCGCGTTTTTTCCTCCCCTCGAGAAAAACGCGCGCGGCAAATCTTGCTCTCGGTTTTTTCAAAGCCTCGAGAGAAAAAAAGAAGGGGGAAGGAAAAGTTGATTCAAAACGCGAGCGCGACACCAGCGCGGGTCGTGAAATAATCCAATTTGCGCGATTAACGGCAGGCAGAGCAGCAGGTTTTTAATTTGTACCTCGACGAAATAAATTCTCCTCGACGAGGAGAAAAATTATCCCCTCCTCCACCCCTTCTCTCGCGCCACGTAACATCTCTTTTCGAGCGATTACCGATTTCGAGACATCGTCTCAAATGGCGAAGAAATAGAAGCTCTAATAGAAACGAGGATCTAAAAACGAAGAACTCTTTTATTTACGCTTAATCGATCGTGGAAAACAACGCGAGGAATCGGAGGCCCTTCTTCTTTTTCCTTCTTTCAGAAAAGGAGAAGAGGAACGATAAATTTTATTCGACGAATATGATCGGCGGAGCACGTAATTTTTGGCGCCAAATTCGAATATTGGGATGCAAAGCGATGCCAATCTTCGAACTTGGAAAAAATTTTTGCTTCCTTTTTTCCCGCAGAAAAATCTTTTCTGCGGGAAATTCGAATCAAGCAGAGCTCGGGAAATGGCGAGGAAAATTCGTTTCACCTTGGAAACTCTGCGCTCGATATTTTTACCAAGAAACGGAATTAACATCTTGGGTAACGAGGCGTGGCGAGGTATATCGACGCGAAATAACCAACTACAACTACCTTTGAAAGAGTGTACGATGATGAATAATACAAGCTAAGGATGGCGTTGCAACAAGAAAACACGAAGAAAATCGACCTTTTACGATTAATAACGAGACGAGAGGGGGGAATAAGAGACGTTCGGTTAAATAAAATTCCGTCTGTCGGTGTGGAACGTCACCGCTTACACGTGTTTCGAGGTGTGGCCGCGCACGTACGTCTCGATCGTCCGCTTAATCGATTCCGTACACACAGTTTCGAGGGAAACTACGCGTCATGCGGCGTACTTGCGCTCGCCGAATTTTTCCATGTGGGATATAAAAATGAAATAATCCGCGTAGTCACGGTTACTCGGTTCTCGTGTTACGGTTAAATAAATTATGCCCCCTTATCGATTATTGTGCCATTGTAATCTAAAATCAGACACGCGCCAACGTTGTTTCCGCGAATCGTATCTGATTCGATTTCCGTCACCGGGTATCATCGGTACACGTCAGTATCGATAATGTGTGTGTGCGGTTCGTTTACGTAAAAAAAAAAAAAGAAAAAAAAAGAAATACGATACCTTCTCTCTCTTTTTATCCAGGAAAAATTTAAATTTCGAAATATTTATTCGAAGCGTGGTCTCGAAATCGAGGCTTTGTCGAATCCACTTCTCATAAAAGAAAAGGGGAAAAAAATATAAATAATCACTCGTTTCTCGTATATATTTCTCTACGTAAGAAGAAAACGATCGATTTAAAAACAATCGATTTCGACCCTTCTCCCGAATCCCTGAACCGATTGGAAATTATTTAAGAAAATAGTTTCTTGAACGATATATATATTTTTTTCCTTTTTACCTCCCTCCCTCTTCCCCTTCAAATCAAAGGGGACAGAGTAATAACTGCTCGATAAGAGCAGGCCATCGAGAGTCGAGATGAGATTTCTCGAGGACCGGCCTCGCTGAAAAATTGCAATCTCTGATTGTCAGGGGCTCACGAGCGAAACGAGCGATTTTAATCCGCGATGCGTGCATCGAACCGGCCGAGAATCGTTCTCCTCGGATTAAAATATATCGGATTCGACTCTCTAATTTTCGCGGTTCTAATTTCGCCCACCGCGAACGATTTCCCTCCCATCATTCGGCCCTCACGACAAATTTCAATATATCGACGACGATAAAGAAATTCTCGAGATTACGCGAATCTCTCGTGATTCTCAATGGTTGGTTGGAAAAATGGTTTGTTGCCGTTCATTTTAAAGGAACGGCCATGAGGAAAGATTAATCCTACGTTTGGCCTAGTTGGCGAGAAATGAAACGACGATATATATATATATATATATATTTCTCTCTCTCTCTCTCTCTCGAAAAAAAGCAAAGGTTTAAATTATCTTACGATTATGTAATAAACATCTCTTCATTTTCGAGAATAACGAGAGAAATGGAAACGTGACGTGATTTCTAAATAAGAGAATGCGTTCAAACGTGTTGGCCACAATTTTTACAATTTTCTCTCTTAATCGAACATCATCATTATCATTAAACGAAATAATCCACGCGATATCTCGATGCAAACAACGGACTCAATTTATCCAACGGGGTCGATGTTATCGATATTTATCCATCTCTCCTCTCCAGAGATCCATCTCCGATCGTGAACGCCGAATTTACAATCAGTTGCGAGACCCTTGTCACGATTCACTCGTTTCGATCCAACTCGCGGGCAACTCGTTTGAAACTCGATTAAACGGGCCACCGATGCAATGTCAATCGGACGAGAAGCCAGGGAAATTGGATCAACGTCAGTGTCGCGTCGCTGTATTCGAGATCGAGTGAAACATCGGCAAAGGGTGGAGGGTGAAAGTGATAATCGAAGGTACGTAAGATAGATCGAAAGGGTGTGGCGGATCGGAGAGGTAAACGAGAGGGAGATCGTGGTAATTAATTTCGTGGAAAGAGGACGAAAAGCAAAAAGGATGGAACGAAATCGATAGGCACCCGTGTGTCTGGCGATTCTAAAACTGGATCTAAATCTTTTTTCGCGTGTACGAAAACGGAGTCAGTGGGCTATCGATGGCGCGGTTCGTTGTTTAGGTTAACAGCCTCCAGTCACGCACCCATCGCTTATACATCCGTTTCTACGGATACTCTGACGTCCACTCTGTCCATCCTCCCTCTCTTCCGCGTCCACTTCCTGCGTTCGCTTCTCGAAATCTGATTCCGAATTTCCGTGAAATTTTAAACTTCCAGGAATGGAAATGGTTTTCCTGGAAATCGCCTCGAGTTCAATGGCAATCCATCCGCGTTGTTCCATCTCCCGCGCAACGTGACAACAAAAACTCGTTATACTCTGTTCATATTTTCGATATCTTTGGAATGGACACTGACAGTTTTCTATGCTACGCTTCTCAAGCGAAAGCAACTAGTACCGGAAGAGTCGTTACGCGCGGAACAATTCCGTATTATTGGAGGTTGAGCTCCTTTGAAAGCTTTCTAACCAAACCGTTTGATCCCTTTTCGAAATACACACTTTCTTCGACACTTTAAACAAAGAAAAAAAACCTCCATCTTCGCTGGAACGAACGTTCCAAGGAGTCGAAGAACTCGGTTATCCAAACAGGATGGTTCGTTAAAATCTAGTCTTATCGAAGGGATAAATCGTTCGAATCCCCTCCCGAAAAATCCCGTCTTCCTGGCCCATCTTCCCGTGGGAACTTGGTGTGGAGGTAGTATTGATCACTCCCATGCTGCGCCCACCTCCACCCCCTACGTCCTCCGACCTCTGTTTTCCCCGACCCTCTGCATCCTTTATCCCTCCCTCCCTCGAATCCTCCTCCATCCAACAACCTCTGGAAAAAAATTATCATCAGCCACCTCTCAAAACCGCCACTTTTTCAACTTCCTCGATCCCCAACTGTATCACGAACAATTACGAACAATCTTACACGTGAGATAGAGATGGGATAAGAATCGGGGTTCGAGCCTCCCCTCTTTCTTTCAGGGAAGGATTTTTGACAGGGTGCCGCGCGAGAAGGGCAGCGGCTTCGTTTTTCGCCATGTTCGTCGACGATGATTATCTCCACGAAGAGGGATTAAGCGGGGAGGAAGGGGTGCCGTGATCGATACACCGGCGGTGGATTTACGATCCTCGTCGTTTAAAAATCGGATAAAAATAATGCACGAATCGAAATGTTTCCGTTATTCCTTCCTTATTTTCTTCGTAATCGTTTGATTTCTTTGTGTCCAGCCATTGTTGTGTTGTAGAATTTAATTTAAAGAATTTCGCGAGAAAGTGTAACGCACATCTTTCTCTTCCGATCGAATCTTCCACGGGAAAGAAAGAATGTAATTTTGGCAATATTTTCCTTCTTTCATGAATATACGTTTATTATTTAAAACTATTTGCCAAATGTCGTTCGTATCGTAATCCCGATTGTTCGTGTTGACACGGTGGCAAAATTTATACAAGGGAATGTATAATATATTCGAGGGAATTTTATTCGATAAGAGAATCGAGGGAGCGCGTGTGAATTTTGTTGACGACGAACCAACGTCGTCTAAAATTCTCGTCGAGTGAAACGTTGATGCAAGAGAAATGCATCGAGAAATTGGGTACCACTTTTTTCTTCTTCTTTTTTTTTCAGACGCGATTCTAATATATTCTTCGTCTCCGCGCTCGCGAGCGATTTATGAGATTTACGAGAATCGCCCGGCTCGGTAAAGGATAAAAAGAAGCAGGAGGAGGAGGAGGAGGAGGAGGGACTCAACAACGACGCTTACGACACTGGATCGTCGCCAGACGCAAAATTTCCGTGTTACGTATCAACGTATCGCATAAAACGAATTTCTGGTTCACCTTGGAAGGAATTCGAGAGGTTGTAAAAAAAGAAAAAGAGGAAAGAAGGCAGATTCGCCGGAGCCAGACACCTCGACGCGTCTCGCCCAAGTTTCCGGAGA